TTATTTTAATTAATTTATTTTAATTATTTTAATTTAATTATTTTATTTATTTTATTTATTTTAATTAATTTATTTTAATTAATTTATTTTTAATTAATTTATTTTTACCCAGTCGTTGAATTGCGGAGGGAAATCCGTTTGATAGATATGACCCTACAAATATAAATAAATAAATAAATAAAAATATAATTAAATAATTAATTAATTAATTAAATATATAAATATATAAATATATAAATATAAGTATAAATATAAATATATGAATAAATAAATATTTTAATATTTAAATGAGCAATTGATTGCCCACAAAAAGCAAACAACAGCAACACAATATACAGTCACAGGGCTTGCAACTAGTACTGTAGCAGCTGCTGCAGCTCCTGCTGCTGCTGCTGTTGCTGCATCTATGGGGCTGTTGCTACTACTGCTGCCGCAAATAATGCTGCTGCTGTTGCTGCTGCTGCAGCTGATGTCGCTGCTGCTGCTGCTGCTGCACGTACTGCTGTCGATGTGACCTTGAAGAAGGCAGCTGCAGCAACAACAACCGCAGCAGTAGCAGCAGCATCAGCAGCAGCAGCAACTCAACACAATCACCAACAGCAGCAGTAAACGAAGCAGCCGTAGAGACGGAATACCAGCAGCAGCCGCAGCAGCAGCAGCAAAAACAGCAGCAGCAACAGCAACAGCAGCAGCAGCAGCAGCAACGCCTGCTTACGCTCGCCCATGAACTCTCCTTTATACTCCCAGACACTCGTAACAGGAGATATCTGCAGCAGAAACACAAACCACGACGCTGCTGCTGCTCCTGCTGCTGTTGCTGCTGCTACCGTTGTTCGTAGCTCTGCTGCCGCTGCTCTTGCTGATGTAAGTTTTGCTGCTGCTGCTGCAATTGGGGCTACAATAGCTGCTGCTGCTGCCACAGAGGTGCTGCAGGAGCAGCAGCATCAGCATCAGCATCAGCAGCAGCAGCAGCAGCAGCAGCAGCAGCAAGGGGTTAATATACCCCTCTTCTCTTGGTGTAAGTGTTGTTTGAAAGAATGCCGGCGAGAGTTTCTGCAATAGACGGCTTCTCAGCCACCATCAACACCCCAACCTCATGTCCCCTAGGAGCCATCTTCACGCTGCTGCTGCTGCTGCTGCTGCTGGTGCTGCTGCTGCTGCTGCTACTGCTGCTGCTGGTGTTTGTCCTGTTTGGGGTGGTGGGGGGACGCAGCTGCTGCTGCTGCTTGTGTTGCTGTTGGTGCTGCTGGTGATGATGATGCTGCAGGTACTGCTGTGCCTGCTGCTGGTGTTGCAGCTGCTGTTGTTTCTGCAGCTCCTACTGAGATTTCAACTGCTGGTGTTGCTGCTGTTGTTGCTAGATCTGCTGCTGCTGCTGCTGCTGCTGCTGCTCGCTCCTGCGCTGCTGCTGCAGCGGCTGCGGCAGCACAGAAGGAAGCTGCAGCAGCAGCTACAGCAGAAGGCGCAGGGAATTGAAAGGGCTCCTACCGCGTTGCTGTTGCTGCTGCTGCTGCTGCTTGTGTTGATGTTGCTGCTGCTGATGTTGCTGCTATTGCTGCTTGGCGCAGCAATAGTAGGGCCCCCAGGTGTCTATGCAGGTTCAAACGACTGTAAAAAATCGAAAAATTAATTTAAATGCAGAAATTAAAATTAAAAATTTCAAAGAAAATAAAAAACAAACAAACACAAAAAAATTAAAAGCAGCGCGGGGGGCGGCGGTGCCGTCGATGTACAGCTAAATAATTTTTTTTAGGTTTTGTTTATATTTAATTTATTTAAATTAATTAATTTATTTGGTTATTTTTATTATTTTAAAGAAATAAATGTAATTAATTCGTGGATGACTGCCACTGAAAACAAACAAATGCAAACAAAAGAATCCTCGATTCTATAAACCCTAAACCCTAAACCCTAAACCCTAAACACTAAACCCTAAACACTAAACCCTAAACCCTAAACCGTAAGCCTTAAACCCCTAGAGAAGAAACGTGAAACACTTAACTTCAACACGTAATTTCTAAACCCCAAACCCTTATCCCTGAAATCCTAAACCTTCAACCCTAAACCCTAAACCCTAAACCCTAAACCCTAATTTCTCTCTCATACTTTAGCCTCTTCTGAATACAGATCGAAATGGATAACCGCAAAATGTAACCCACAAAACCCTCATTAGCCCTAAACCCCAAACCCTAAACCCTAAACCCTAATAAGCCCTAATAAACCCTATACACTAGACGATAAGAAGCTCGCCTAAACCCTAAACCCTAGGTCATAATGAACCCACATAAGCCCTAAACCCTAATAAACCCTAAACCCTAAATCTACAACTATAAACCCTAATAAACCATCATAAACACTAAACCCTTAACCATAATAAACCCTAAACGCTAAACCTTAGATCCTAATAAACCCTAAACAGTAAACCCTAATAAACCCTCATAAACCCTAAACCCTAAACCCTTATGAACTCTCATATCCTTCTTTAACCATATACCTAATAAAACCGCACGGACTCTCGTAAACACTAAACGCTAATAAACCCTAATAAACCCTAATAGACCCTACACCCTAATAAACGCTAATAAATCCTAATAAACCCTAAACCCTAATAAAACCTAATAAACCCTAATAAACCCTAATAAACCTTCATTAGCCTTAATAAACCTCATAAACCCATATAAACCCTAGAACCTAAGTCGCTCTAATAAACCCTAAACCCTTGTAAACCCTAATAATCTTCAACCCCTTAACAAAACCCTAATAAAACTTACACCGCAATAAACCCTAATAAACCCTAAGTTGTAGTAAACCCTAATAAACCCTAATAAACCCCTAAAAGAGTATAGTAAACCATAATAAACCCTAAACCCTAATAAACCCTAGTAAACTCTAAACTCTAATAAGCCCTTATAAACCCTAATAAACCCGCAACTGTAAGAAACCCTAATAAACCCTACTAAACCCTAAACTGTAATAAACCCTAATAAACCCTGAAGTGTAATAAACCCTAGTAAAGACTAATAAACCCTCAATTGTAACAAACCCTAAACCCTAAACCCCGAACCCTAATAAACCCTCACAAATAATCTCTGTCTCTCCATTCAAATGCCGCCTCCACCGAGTTCGTCTCCTCCTCTTGTAAGAGAAAGAGCAGCAGCATCAGCAGCAGCAGCAATAGCAATAGCTGCTGCTGCTGCTGCTGGAGTGTATGCACAGGTGGGTAGGCGATTGATTTGGAGTGTATGTACAGCGGAAGTAGATAATAAATATCAGTTGTTTAGCAAATGTCGTGAAATTAAAAAGATATGCGGGATATACAGACTGCATGTCTACAACAAATAAATAAATAAATAAATAAAATAAATCAATAAATCGAAATAAATAATAAAAAGAAAACAAAATGCAATAAATAATAACTCAGCAGTGTACAGACAGCTCACATACTCTCCAAACACTCTCTCTGCTGCCTCTCCCCAGCGCCCCCAGCAGCTGCTGCAACAGCAGCAGCAGCAGCAGCAACAGCAGAAGCAGCAGCAGCAGAAGCAGCAACAGCAGCAAGGAGCTTACGCGTCTTTGCTGCAGCTTCTGCCTCATGTATGTAGGCCGTATGTTGTGTCTCTACTGCTGTTAATAAAATAAATATATAATTCTGTGTATAATGAACCAGCAGCAAGCAAGCAAACAAATAAATAAATAATAAATAAATAAATCAATCAATCAATCAATCAAATCAAAAGAAAGAAGCAGCAAATAAACAAACGAAAGAGCGGAGAGCTCAGAAGCTTAGCCAATGCACTTGTTGCAGATATACATATATATACATACATATAAATAGATATATATATATATATATATATAGATATATATATATATATATATTCATACATATATATACATATTATGCATATTGTGTATATATATATATATAATACATATATATACATATTATAGATACATACATAGTATATATACATATTATATGTATACATCTTATATATACATATTATACATTTATACACACTCATATATATATATATACATAAATCTATACATAGATATTTTATATATAGATATATATCTATACATACATTATATATATATATATATATACATATTATATATACAATGCATGCATAGAGCTATGAGTATTGAAGAGGATGTTTATTTTTTGTTTCGAGAGGTCTGTCTTCTTCATGTGGAACAACGAATCCTTTGAGATGGTGTTTATCAAAAGAAACCCAGTCTCTGGGGTGTATAAGGAGCTGCAGAGTTTTACCTTCTAAAGAAGAAGGAGAAGGAGGCGCTGGGGTGTATTCCCAGCGTGCTTCAAGGGGTAGCGACATTAATATATTTTCAGCAATACTTCCGGGTAAAGCTAAGCCAAATTTTGTCCCTCTATCACAAATTAAATTAAACTCTATATACCGTCCTCGTCTAATTAGCATCCAGCGTAGTTGCTGCTGTGTATAGCTGCTGCAGCAGCGTCTTTGTACAATATCAAGATATATCGGAGCAAAGCTATGCAAACCATCAACACAAAACTCTTTAATTTCTTTTAGTTTACCCCTGCACTCATCATTTAAATAATCAAAGAATATACCCCCTATACCTCTTGCTTCTCCTCTATGAGGCAGCCTATAATAAGCATCCGCCCAGAGCTTAAAACGAGGGTAGTATATAGGATTATGTCTATCGCACATATCTTTAAGAGCCTGATGAAAATCTATACAATCCTTCTCAATTATATATGCAGGAGATAAATCTGCCCCCCCCCCAAACCACCAACATATACTCTTACCCTCGCAAAAGAGCTGAAAAAATCTGTAATTTGCATGCGATGAAGGTGCATGAGGATTGCAGGGGTGCAGCACTAAAGATAGACCTGCAGCAAAAAAACTTATGTTGCTGCTGTATGCCCCACTACTCCCTTCTTGTACAGACCCGCTGCTGCTGCTGCTGCTGCTGCTGCTGCTATTGCTGCTGTTATTGCTGTTATTGCTGCTATTGCTGCTATTACAGCCAGCAGCACCACCACCACCAGAAGCTGCTGCTGCTCCTCCTCCTGCTGCTGCTGCTGCTGCTGCTGCTGCAGGCTTTGGAGGTAAGAGATCGCGCAGCAGTTCACGCAGCTTCTCGCCTCCACCTCTACACATTGAAAGTGCTGCAGCCAGCGGTAGAGAGCCTTCAACAGCACTGACGTTAACCCCGCCTTTTGCAAAGACAACGCCGTCTTGTATTACTCGCGTTAGGCCTCCTCCTTGCCCTGGGCCCCGTACCCACTGAGTATTCTCAAATCGTTTCGCGCACTTAGGCTGCTGCTGCTGCTGCTGTTGTTGCTGCGGTTGCTGCTGCTGCTGCTGCTGCAGCTTTGCTGCCACTGAGGCTTCTAATGCCTCTATAGCGCTGCATATTGCTGACTGAGCGCTGTATAACTCTGCAACCCACGCCTCGCGGAAGGCCCCATCTGGGTGTTCTTCACGGGCTTCCTGAAGAAAGAAAATATATAAATTTTAAAAAAAAATAAAATAATATATATTTATAAGAATATTCAACCTTTTAAATATATATATATATAGCAATATATATGCATGCAGAAAATACAGTAGTAAACGAATATACATATATATATATATACAGATAAAAATATAGATATAGATTTAAATATGGATATAGACATAGATATCGATATTATAGATATATAGATATAGATATCAACACTATGTATATATATATACATATATATATACATACAAATATATATATATATAGTTTATATATATATACATATATATATATATATATATATATATAAACACCCACAAGCCAACTCGCTACGATCGGGGTACGCAGCAAGCGAAAGGCAGCAGCAGCAGCAGCAGTAGTAGCAGCAAGTTCAGAGCAGGAGAGTTTGCAAGGGCATTAAAAAAGTGAAAAGAAAGTAGAAAGAATAAAGGGTATTAATTATTGCGGTGTACGTACAGTTAAGTCCATTTCTTCTTATTATGCAGCTCTCTCTATCTCGAAGACCCTGCAGCAGATGTAGAGGCGCGGAAGCTGCTGCAAGCAAGTGGCGGAAAGGAGAAGAAAATAGAAAAAGTATATAAAATAAAAGTGTTTAACTGCAGTAAGAGTGAAAAAATTAAAAGAAAATGCACTTTATACCGACTCTTTTGTTTTCGCGGTCAGTTGAAAGCTCGGGGATATGAATATGCATCGATTAGGCTTGTCTGGGGAATCTGTTTGATTTAAACGGAATAAAAGAAGAAAATGCGTTAAATTAACACAAATTTCAGCAAATATTTTCATTAAAACCCCCGAGATTCTGAAAGAAACTAAACTTTTTATACTTGAGGTGTCTGTACAGTGCGGGGGCGCCCAGTGCAGTCTGTCGTAGCCTAGTTGTGCTAGACGTCGGTATATTAATTAGTGAATAATAAATAAAAATAAATATAAATTAATTAAATAATAATTATTATTCAATACTTTACTTCTTTTATTCACAAATTCTCTATTATTTCTCTCTTTCTCTTTCTATATCTGCGTCGCTGGGAGCGAGAGGCTGAGGGGGAGATAATAATATATATACCTTTGTCTGTTCTCCTTTAATTGATTAAATAACTTAGTATTAATATATTTATTCTCTATACTTCTTCTTTAGCTGCAGCAAAGCATATTCTCACGCGAAAGCAGACCTTTGCTTCCTCAGCTTAATTTAAACCTTCAGCTGTACGTGCAGCTCTCTCTTTCTCCCTCTCTGTTTATGTTTGGATATCTCTAAATTATTTTATCCTTTCGCCTCATTTCCCTATATTAATTAAACCTTTCGCTTTAATTGTCTTTGTTTTTCTTGTTTATCTCCTTATTATGAACCCCTTCAGGCCCCCCCAACCCCCTTCACACCCCTCTCGAGTGTATATAGTATATATTACCTCAATAAGAAAGAGATGTATAGAGAAGACCTTTATTTGTTCGTGTCTTTAGTTGCTAGAGATGCTGCTGAAGATGCAAGTTTATTTTCACTGCAATGAAAATGAAGCCCCTACGCTGCAAAGAAGAAATACTTTAAGTTTAATTTAGCTCTGTGGGGTGTCTGTACAGTCGGCTGTTCACAATCCTTGCATTCGAGCAGCTGCAACAGCAGCTGCAGCAGCTGCTGCAGCAGCTGCTGCAGCAGATGCTGCAGGCTGAGGCCTCTTTATCTGCCGCTAAAGTGTCTCTGTATCTGCAGCTTTGCTGCAACAACCCCACCCTAATAACAACTAATAATAAATATCAATACTATTACAATAATAACCCCACTACCCTAATAAGAACAACTCGTAATAACTAATAGAATAATAAATACTGGGATAATAACAACAACCCCACCCTAATAACAACAACCCCACCACCCTGATAACAACAACCCCACTAGCTAATAAAACAATATAACAACCCTACTCTAAAAACAACAACCCCACCCTAATAATAACTCGTAATAAATACTGTAACAATAACAACAACCCCACTCTAATAACAACAACCCCACTCTAATAACAACAACCCCACTCTAATAACACCAACCCCACCATAAGAACAACAACCCCACCGTAATAACAATTCGTATTGAGTACTATAACAACAACCCCACTCTAATAACAACCCTCCTACCCCAATAACAACAACCCCACTCTTATAACTACCCCACCAGCTAATAGAACAATAACAACAACCCCACACTAATAACGACCCCACCACCCTAATAACAACAACCCCACTCTAATAATAACAACAACCCCACCCTAATAATAATAACCCCCCCTAATAACAACAACCCCACCACCCTAACACTAACAACAACCCCACACTAATAATAACAACAACCCCACCCTA